CTCAACTGATAATTATTCTTATAAGTTCCTCTTGACTTATTAAGGTGTATGCAATATGACATAGCAAAGCATACTATAACATAGAATGTACTCAAATACATATACTTCATGTGCACTGCTTAAGTGTATGCAGTATGATCTAGCATAGTATACATAATATTAAATTAACTCAAACACATATAATTCATGTGCGCTGTTTATGTGTATGCAGCATGACATAACATCGCATACAATACTTAAAGCATAAACATGCATATATAACATGTGTAACTTTTTCTTTAAAAATCTATTCATACTGTAGGCGAGATTCCTACTTACTTGATTTACAGAGCTGGAATCCACTCTTCGCCAAACAGCCTATTCTCTTACTTGCTTACTTCTGAAAATGAACACCCATTGAGAGTGTAAAATTATCTGTCATTTGCTATTCTATTTTAGCAACTTATGAAGGAAATATAACCCTTTACTTAAGGTATGTATTCCTTTCCTTTATTGAAGGATAATTTACTATAAGGATCAATTTATTAAATCCTCAAAATCTTATTTTCCTTAATTGCCATTACAAATTTGTGCTAAATTAATAATTCATTAATTATCTTATCCTTATAATAAGTCTAATAATTTAGTTAACTAATTTTGGTAATTAATTAACCCTTTTATTCATATACTAAGTATACATAAGTTAGTTAATTAATCTTAGTAATTAATTAACTTCCTTAACCATATTCTAAGTTTTAGATAACTTAATTAATTAGTTTTAATAATTAATCAAATTATCATCCATAATACACTTTTAATAAACTTTACTTTACCTCACTTGACGGGCTCATAATAGTGTTGAGGTCCATATTTACCGTCGTAAAATTAAGCGTCTAGCGTATCATTTCTTTAAAAAAAGATATATATCTATATTAATATTCAAAAGTCATTAACAACTTTATTCTTAAAAAAAAAAAAACATTCTCAATTTGAAAAATTAGAAATTGAATATTTAACAATATTTACCTAAAGCATATTCTTAAAAAAGTAACCTAAATCAGTTCAATATGTACTAAATAAGTACATAAAAACAACAGTCTACAAAAGTGCTGTCAGACTTCCCCCCTCCCC